CTTGATTCTTGTTCAAGTTTGTATGTAGTTTTGATGCTGGTTTTAGTATTGATTAGTGTTTGGGTATAGATTTTGGACCAAACCTGGATTAAATCAGGATCAAACTGTCAAGGGAGAGTTTCAGGCCAACTCTATGGGAGCAGAAAAATACATCAATTGTAATAAAATCGGAAAATCATCATCATATTATTTTTACTGTATCACCTACATGTTCCAGTGTATTATCCGGTTCAGTGTTTGGTAGCAGACCCCGTGCTAACTGTGACAGCCTGTATCCTTAGCCCAGTCTATTGAGCTTGAGTTATGTGCAGTTAAAGTGGTCTGCTGTGGTTTCCGGAGCATTGTTTTTCTTATTATATTACAGTCCCCTGAAGGAGACATGTCTCCGGAGGAATGTGACTCTAGTCCCTCTGTAAAGTATTAAATGTACTGTATTCTAATAAAGCTTTTATTAAAAATACCATTCTTCACTGAGATATTTGCTGAATTAAATTGTGAGGTCAAAACAAGTAGATTTCCTCATTATCATTGATTTCCTGTGTTTTATAACTTAAAATAATAATATATATAAAGAAAAAACATACATTTGATTCCCTGCCTGGTCCCGGTAAAAGCTTGAATTGGATGTGTGCCGCCCTCTGCTGGCTGCAATGCAGAAAAGCATGTTGATATAAGCATTAACTAGGTAATGAGCAACATGTCTTTTTGTAGTGAGGACAATCTGAATGGTAACTACTAGGGGTGTGCAAAAATCTGTCAATATATCCTATTGTTTAGTTTGATGATACAGTATCGATATCATGGGCTGCTGTGTTATTATATCACCAAGAGTATATTTTACTGAATTATTTTGTGACATTGCTACTATTTTGTTGGTTGAGGAACAAAACGTCTTTATGCAACACATTTGACATACTTGTTTTGATGATTAAAATGGGTGTACTTCATACTAACTTTAAGTAGTGGTTTAACAAAGACTTTTAGTATTACAGCCATGATTTAGCCTTTATTTTATCCTGAACCATATCGAAACATTTTCAAATATACTGTATAGAATCATATTAAATTGAAAGCTCACTGTATTGTATCGTATTGTATCGTATCGTGGCCTTTGTATTGAGGTCCTTATCATATCAGTAACTTCTTAATGATACCCAGCCCTAATAACCATAAGGTTTTGAAGGAGGTCTTCAGTGAAGCATGGTCATAATATTGGTGATTGAAGATTCTCTCCTCATAACTGTCTGTAGAGTCACATGACATAAACGCACAGTTGTTATGCAAATGTTGTGTGTAAGTTTAGACTGGAATTTTCCCCTGTATCTGAAATAGATTTTTTAATGAGCTGTTAGTCATGTCATAACAGTGTTCCCTTGGTTTACTCAAACTTGTTTTTCAATTGATTAAAGGTTGTATGGAGGATTTTTTTGTTTCAAATTGTCAATGATAGCATTATAAAGGTGCAGTAGCCTTGTAATTATGATGACCAAAAAAAAGAATAAAAATTCATCAACTCTGGACGTGGTGGGGCTAAACATTTGCCAATAGATAACGACACTGCCTCGTTATCTGTTAGCTGACAGGCTGTCAATCAAACTCCCTACGTTTCTAGCGTAACTGACTTGCCTGCGCGCTGCCGTTACGTGGTTTGCGTACGCCTGTCACGCAGTCCACAGACGCAAGACGCACAGACGCTGTTTAGTCCACCAACGCAACAGTTCTTAGCGGCTTTTTTTGACCTATATCTTCCTCGCAGTTCGCACAAAGTTTGTTGCAATGGCAGACAAGAATCCAGGAGCAGTTAGCTGCAACAGAAAGTCCGTTTTTGAGATTGCTGAAAGAAGAAGACAAGGGGAAAAGCAGCGAAGCCAAACTAAGGTGATTCTTGTAGATTCATTCCAGCGATGGCGCAACTGAAGCAGACGAAGGGTCTAAAGACTGACGCATTGGTCGCCAAATTACTCCTGGACAGGTCACTTCTGCTTATTATGAAAACGTACTTTATTTCCAAGAGCTAGACAAACGTTTTTCAGGACACGAAAGCGATATCCTATGTCTGAAAACGTAATTTTCAAGGCAAAGAAAGAGTCCGCTTGCTGCTGCGTGTTGTAGCTAGTTCATTCGCACTGAATCTCCGCGCACCCTTCTCTGCACCCTTTCCTGCTCCTGTCCCCGCTGCCCGATCCGCTCTTCCCCCTGCTCCTCACTTCTCCGGGCACGGAATCTCCGTGCACCGCTCCCCTCTCCTCTCCTCTCCTCTCTCCTCTCTCCTCTCCCTGCTCCGCTCTTCTCCTTGCTCCTCACTTCTCGTCCGCGCACGAAATGTCCGCGCCCCCCCTCCCCCGCTCCTCACTTCTCCACCTTGCCTAACCAAGGTTGTTTACAAGTCATGTGCAGCGCACCGGCTGTAAACAAACCTGTTTCTGGCGTAAGGAGGAGGCGGGAGGAGGCGTTTCTACGTAGGGAGCTGTAGGGGAGGGTGGGTGGTTTCACACATGCGCAACATTTGAAAAAGGACAAACAGTCGCTGGATTTCTCGTTCCTTGGAAAATCCTCTATACAACCTTTCATCATTATTCCTGTATTGTTTTGCGTATGAGGCTTGACTGCTCAGAAAATGTCTCTTTTCATCTATCCCCTATCTCCACCCACTTCTCTGAAATTATGATTATTTTTTAAAAATCTAACACTGGATCCTGCATGTGGGTTGTGTACGGTGTAACGCCAATATGAAGAGAGTGGACCTTTGAATTCTGCACTTTTGATGAGGAAATCAATGGATCTGTTTGTATTATTAGGCTGTTTTAGATCAATGCTGGTTTACAATGAACAAAATGTAAAATTAAAATCTACATATGTTATAATTGAATACTAAATAGCAGAAAAAATGTGAAGGTACTGTTTCAGAATAGAAAACATCTACAGTGAAATAAATACGATATTGATAAGTGCAATGCCATACTGTTAAAATACATTAACATCTCCATGGAGACAAGCAGGTGACTAGAAAAGTTACACAGTGCACTTTTTAAGCTGTCCTAATAAATGTTTGAAGGGTACATGGTTAAACATACACACAGATAATGAGGTGAGAGTTATAGTCACTTTCCCTTCCCCCATTTCAGGAATTTGGTTCCCAGGATCTGACATTCCTCTGTCCGCCTCGGGACCGCTGCTCTGTGTGTGTGTGCGTGTGTGTGTGAGATAGAGAGATAGCTTGTCAAACATCAGGCTGTTGTTTTTGTTTCACATACAGATAAGTCTTCACTGCATCATCACCTTTTATTCTTTCTCTTCACCTGCTTCCTTCACATTCTGTCAAAACTTAGTGTCAGTTTTCTACAATCATTCAACACTGTGAAATTGTCATAGTAAGTAAGTAAAGATTAAAGACTGAATATTGAATTTGAATATTATTAACAGATTAAAACTGTGTCAGCTGGTCTTGAATCTAAAAATGTTTCTTAATAAAATTCTTTTATATTGCTATTTCAGACCAACAGGCTACTTTTCTTTTCTAAATATCAGTAATTGTCACTTTACAATTTATTTATCTGTTTGTTTATGTTTTTGAATGAGATGGTAAATGTAGAAATCGACCAAATAGTTTTTTGTTTTTTTCTTGATTGGTGGATTGTTTTAGACTCCAGAGAAACCGATGGCCGATGCACTATTTTTGGCCTGATATGTGGGGCCGATTTTGATTTATTTTTGTCCCCTAATTATATAATTTAAATTTACTTCAGACTTACTATAAACCTATAACAAAGCAGTTTAATCAATGTTTTGTGTAGTTATCGTCACATTAGTGTTCAAGTGTTCAAGTGAAGCTTTATCTGTACTCTTTTGCCAGCAGATCAGCTAAAACTAAACATCATTCTGTGCTGGAGATTTAAAGCCAATAGCTGATTCATTAAAAAAGTGCAAATATCGGCCCAGTATATCGGTTGGCTCATATTTGCAGTATCTTTAGCTAAATTATTAAAGAATGACTTACATCAGAACATTAAAGTTTAAACTACAGGAAAATATAAGTGTATATTTTGTTGTTTGTGGAGGATACTAGATTACCCTGTTAAAACCCAATGTGAGTGTACTGAAGCGTATTGAAGTGTATTCTCTACTGTTGTTATCAGCCTCTCTTTAATTCTTCGTATTTACTCCCTCTCTCGTTTATTTTTGCCCGTGTGTGGGGGCTGCTGACATAGCCGTTGCCATGGCGACGCATAGTACTAGGCAGGGGGGCCGCAGCCGTGACGTGACTCGGATCTCACACAGAGCAGAGCTACAAAGGCCCTGTGCTGTGTAATCAGACAGTTGACCTGAAAAACCCCAAATAACTCTGGGTTTTTCCCCATTGTTCGGACACTGGTTGATCAAAACATCCCATTGTGTAGTTATAGGCAGAAGTAAACACGACTAATGAGGAATAACTTTAGTATTTGTTAATGGATGCGCTAATAATAATACACATACCGCAAACTAGTTATTCAAGTGATTATGTAATTGCATGTTTTTATACAAGACTCTATGGAGATATATGGATGTTTGCATTTCATTAAATATTTGGGACCTAATTGGGACTCGTCAAAAGTTCAGTTTGATTGCTATTAAACTTTTTACACAAAAAATCTTATTTGAGGTCCAGTTGTTTTATTTGGTTTATTTTAAATGTGTGCTGTGTAACTTTTCGGATGGAGGGATCAGGAATGTTCCACAGTATGCCTTTAAAGTATCTATTGTGCATTCATTCCATTATTTTATTATTATTATTTGCTTAAAAATGTGCATTCTTATTGGGAGCTCGGGGCACCTCTCCACAGATCTGACCTGTAACTTGGCCTAGTGCTGTCATCTGCTCGTCTTTGCGTACATGGATGCATTAAAGCCATACCGTGGAACATTCTAGGCACAGATGCACACTCAAATTGCAATATATTTGAACAGTTTCTAAATTACTACATAACATTGTAACTTGACTCTTGTGTCTGTGTCCCCAGGTGAAGTTAGGATGGCCTCGTGGCAGACTGAACTGCCCAGCTCCTAAACACTCCCAAAGTTTCACACTCCACTGACCGTACGCTCGCTCTTCCTTCTGCGGAGAGGGGGAGAGAGCGGCATGACCACCTCCCACCTGAACGGGCATGTGTCGGGGGAGGGAGGGGACGACGAGCTGAGGGGAGGGCACAGGGAGATGGCCGTGGACTGCCCAAGCGAGTTAGGCAGCCGCACTCTGCCACTAAGACGGTCGGCCCAACTGGAGAGGATACGCCAGCACCAGGTAAAACCAAACAAATGATCATGACAGAAATGTACAGTATGTTGGGAGTAAGTTTATTCTTGGGTTTGTACAACAGAGCTCAGAGTTGTATTATCAGTCACACCCCAACAGATTCCTTGTTAGTGAAATAGTAGTGAAGTAATAGTGTAACAGTAAACCATTGAGATTTAAAATTGGTAGATAATTATTCAAGTTTCAGTTAACTCAAAAGTATTCAGAGTATTCTTGGATTACTGCTTCCCATTTTTAGGTGACATTTTGAATACTTTTCCAGTTGGTTGAAGCTCATGCTGTTGACCAGTAGCATGGTAAACCTCTAGTGATCATGAATCATACTCTTACATGTTATTGAGGAGAAGGAGACAGGATCAGTGACATAGATATAATGAAATAAACATTTATAAACTTTCATTTGGGGACTGGCTGCCCCTTGTGGTGGATTCAAATTGATGTTACTGAGTAGGATGGGCTAGCCAAGTAATTGAGTTGTAGCAACAGATAACGTCCATAATGATAAGAAAAATGCTAATGTTTTAGCATGAAAGATTTTTTCTTATTCTTTTCAGTACTGATACTTTCTCAAATGATTATCTAGTTTTCATACTGGTTTTGTTGTTTGTTGTAACCCAAGCCTTCTTTCGTCATCATCTTCTAAGTTAGTCTCAGGAATTCTGCAGCTCTTCAGCTTGATATTAGTTTTATTATTGCCAGCAAAACTAATAAACTGAATATTATATCTTGTTTAGATCATATATCATTTCTTTGATCTTGAGAAATAAAACCACACTCATTAACTGCCCTTGTTCTACAGGAGGACCTTCGGCGGCGGAGGGAGGAGGAGGGCCGACAGTTGGACCTGAACACGTCGCTCAGACTCAGAAAACTTTCCCAGAATCCTCAGATCGGCATCGACAACCCCACGTTCCTCCAGGACTCCCTCTCACCTCAGCCCCTGCCCCAAAGCCAGGCTCATGCACTGCTGGGTAAGACCAGAGACTGTATAAAGACGTGAATGTGATGTCACCCGTAGCATTTGGGTCCAGTCAAATGAAGTCAGTTGAAGCTTCAGTTTGAATTGCGGTTGCGTGTATCATAACAACCAAAGAGCCAGTCAAGAGTGAGGGTGTTGAAGGCCCCCTTAGCAATGCTGTCAGTCAAACCTGTTGCTAAAGTGACCTAGTGGAATCTATGGTCTGTTATTAATAGTCATATCTTGATTCACGGACAAAATAACGAAATAAAAATGAGATCAGGATCATGTAGAGGAGATTAGTACAAACATTTTAAGACCAAAATGACGAGGCTCACAGCTGCAGTTACAGAGAGGGGTGTTTTTCAGTAGAAAGTGAATTGGAGCCGACTCACACTCTCTTTGTATTTGGAACACGCCAGCTAGTAGGTTAGCTATGTTCATTTATACAGTCTCTGGGTTAGACCTGTCATCAACAAGGAAATGAGATGCATTTTATAACTTGAGAGAATAGATGGAAAAAGTTTGCCGTCCAAAAGTTGTTCTTCTAAAACTCTTCTCATATCTGGGACACTCTGTTTAGACATTAAGTGTAGGTATTTCTTTGCTAAAAAGCTCTTTAAAAGTGGGTTAGAGGTGAGACCTTTGAATATAAATGCAGTGAAGGGTTTTGGGACTTGAAGGAGGACAGGGAGGGAGAGAAAAGGATATAGGGATGGAGAGCGATGGAGAGGGAGGGAGTGAGAGGGGGAGAGAGAAAGTGACAGAGAAAGGAGGGAGGGATAGAATGAGGGGGAGGGAGGGAAAAAGAAGGATATAGAGAGAGAACGAGAGAGAGACATCAGGAGCGGGAGGGAGGTGGAATGAGGGAACAGAGAGAAAAAAGATGGGGAGGGAGATAGAAGGGGAGGACAGGGAGGGGTGGTGAGAGAGGCAGAGAAATGAGGGAGGATAGGTAGAGAGAGAGAAGGATACAGGGAAGGATAGAGAAGGAAAGACGGGAGAGGGACGGAGGGGAGGTAGAGAAAGAGGAATTTGGCGTCTAGAAGGGCATTCCTGAGGGAGGGAGAGCCGGACATAAGGACCACTTCAGGAGACTTCATTAAACCTGGACAAGGCAATGACTCAAAACAACAAACAGAAACACTCCATAGAGCTGCTGCTGCTGCTCCTGCTGTACCCACAGGTTAATGAGAAACTACTTTAATGACTTAATGCACGACAAGAGGAGATGGACATTTAATATTTGGGTTTATTCTACACATGTGTACAGTAGACTATCAGCATCCTGATAGAATTTGTAGAGATGTAGGAAATTTTGTTTTGTAGTTTTGGGGTCTTTCTGGCCCCAAGATTTAACTAACTTCTACAATTTTCCTGCAGTGAATCTTGGACTAAACCTGGGACTAAACCTGGGACTAAACCTGGACTAAACCTGGGACTAAACCTGGGACTAAACCTGGGACTAAACCTGGGACTAAACCAGGACTTAAAAAACAGGAATAAATTATGAAGCCAAGACTAAACCAGGGACCGGGCTAGACCAGGGGCGAGACCAGGGGCGAGACCAGGGGCGAGACCAGGGGCGAGACCAGGGGCGAGACCAGGGGCGAGACCAGGGCCGAGACCAGGGCCGAGACCAGGGCCGAGACCAGGGCCGAGACCAGGGCCGAGACCAGGGGCTAGACCAAGGAGTATCAGTCATAGTTCTGGTTTAATAATGTTTTTTCCTAGAATCCAGAACACACCAAGTTCAAGGTCTTTTAATTATTGCCAAGATTTTGAGAAGTCTTGTTTGGAATTATAAAATAATAGGAATGCACTTAAAATATTATACTTGCTGTGTTGGAAAATTCATTGTGGTGCCAAATAACTGCATCAGCCTTTCTAGTCCCATATTTGTCGCTGCTCTGTTATTAGATGTCCACAGTATGATGCTATAGCTAAAGTACATGTTACATCTGAAGTACATGTTGTACTGTGTTTTTGCAGAGTTGGAGGAGCTGCTGTTTTCGCTGAAGCAGATCCGGGGCTGTTTGTCCGATCAGCAGAGTCAGAATGACATTGAGCTGGTCCTCGCACTGTTGAACAAGGTAATACAAACAAATGGACACAAAACTTAACTTAAAGCTCCACTGAATACCTTTTAGCCAAAAAACAGACTATTCTTTTTCTTTGTGGATATATTTATTGCACAGAAAAACGTGCACCCCACTCCTTACTGTGAGCGGGCTTGCATCTCCACGAACCTGACTCTTATTTGGCTCCTCCTGCTTCTAAAGTATGGTTATTAACCTATATTTCCATGGAATAATCAAGGTGACTATGTATCACCTCCAGAAAGTTCCAGACTGTTGCGTTAACTTAAAACTATAAACAATGTATTTGTTTTGAAAACAACAGTCTATAAAAGACACCAGCAGAGCTCGCAGGACTGCATCTGTTGGAACACTGAAGAAAGAAGCAATTTGTAACAAGCTCAAGACAATTTCAGCTAAAGTCACATTTGTATAATGAAAGTAACTTAAGTACTATAATCATGAGAATATGTTTGTGCTTGTATGGACTTAAAGGGCCCTTATTACATTCATCTTTGTTATAATGTTTGTTTCATTCCCACATGTTTAACACACAAACCTTGCATATCACCTAGTGATGTCACTCCTTCACTAGAATCATTTGGATAATTTCAGCCCGATTGCCTTCTCTCTGCTGAACTAAAGGTAAAAACTAGCTGTTAACTTGGCTAGCTTTGGAGGTGTAGACTCATAATAAATGAAACTCAAACATGTGTGAATGAAACAAAACAAAACTCCAAGGATGTTTTTGCTTAGGTAAGAGCATTACAAATGTCTTAAAGCTCACAGGAGTCAAGTTTGCGTAATGTAGGACCTTTAACAAATTAGTGTGAATGGAGATTACAATGAATAGAATAACAGACACGGTAGGTTACAATGTGGAGGTTAATGTTTGTGTTTTAAAAATGACGTCTTTATAGAAAGATTGGGATAAAGGTTATCTCTCTGTTTTCCTTGAATTATGCCAACAGTTTTAGCTCACAATGCTGATTCAACTGTTTGTGCATTTAAATTGGCCCATGTTACAGTTTTCTTTGGCAGTATACCTGCTCAATATTAGGAAAACTGATAACTAGGTGAACCCCAGGAGGCTCTGGCCAAAAGTACAGAACTATAATACAGTCATTAGGAACAAGCAGGCTAATATTTCATTCAAGCTTTATATGACAGCTGAAAATAGATTGGGCTATTTATCCTTAGTTAAAATTCATGTTATTCTGCAAAGATTTTTGGCCTTATTTTTGAATTATTCTATTATTATTTTTGGAAACATTGTACCTGTGGTTTTAATCAAAAAGTAGTCACAAGAAGTCATCAGTAATTGGTTAAGTGTTTTGTTTTTTGCCTATATTAATTTAATTGCAGTACTGGTTGTTTTTGGCATGTTCACTACCAGATAGCAAATGTTTTCACACACCATCTCGTTCAGTGTTTTTTTTTTTCTTTATTTTCTTACATTTGATAAACATACAGATGAGTATATAAGGTAAGTTCTAGGAAAATAATGTAGCAAAGGAAACAAGATCTAATATATTTTAAGTTTTAAGAAATATCTTTTATATTAAAATCCTCAAAGTAGTTATTTAAAGCTGCATTGTGTAACTTTTCTGATGGAGAGGCTGTCAAGTGCTTTTCTCCATGGAGTTGTTATTGCTTTGTCTGGAATGTTTCACAGTATGGTATTATACCTTTCTATCTTCATGGAGACCAAACCAGACCAATTTACGGGTCAGATCTGTGGAGAGGCGTCCCTGCTCATAGTCAGAATGCCTGTTTATTATGCCTAAGTATTCCTGAGCTATAAAAAACACCTGTAATTGAATAAATGTAAAATAGAGCGGTTTAAAGTCATACTGTGGAACATTCCAGGAAGAGCAATGACTTATCCATAGAAACAAGCAGGTGACAGACCCTCCACTAGAAATGTTATGCAGTGTGATTTCACACATTTTGCTTCATAATTTTTAGGTTTTCTGTATGTATCTAAAATGTACAAATTACAATATCTGTTTGTCTCAAAATGTCAAACTCTTGGTACAAAGCTGTAAATAACCAGAAGCTAAATAAAAGTTGAATGTGTAATAAGAAAATAAAAGTTAATTGTACTTGTCCATTTTCTTCCACAGTCTGATTTCCAGTCTGCTCTGAAGATCCACAATGCGGTGGCGAGCAGCATGCACAAACCCTCCCCCCCGTACCCACACACACACCAGGCGCTTCCTCTGGCCATGGAGGTAAGACACGCAAACTTTTACACAGATATTATCTGCCAGCATTTATTGAAGCTAAAAAAAAAAGATGAATACAAGTTAAAGTGATTTTTTGTTGTTTTTTTAGGTCAGAAATCTTATTCAGACGAGTTCGAGCAAAGATGGCCTTGAGCTCCACACCCTACTGTCAGACGCTCACCTACAGGTAAAAGTGGTTTATAGTAAAAGTATGATTTTATGAGTGTTGACACATAAGAGTAAAAGGTAGTAATGTCTGATAACAGAGGACACAGCGCAGAGACAGTGGCCAAGTTCACATGCACACCAAAATCTGAATATTGTCTGATTTCTTGACCTTTAAGAGTATTTAAATGACATGAAAACGGCTTAATTTGAGTTATCAGAAGGACCGGAAGGACATTGCCTAATGACTTTATCCATTTATTTCTTTATTGTTCATTCCCTCTATAAATGGAAACTGAGCTTGTAGTTTTGTGAAGTGTATTATCCAAATGTTGACCAAAGCATGTTTAAAGCCACAAGATTGCATAATATTTTGTACCACAAATAACCCAAATCTGTATATTCCTCCCCCTTTTTTTTCAGTCCTTACTCCTGGCCCATGACACCATAGCAGAGTCAGAAATGCAGCCTGAAGCGGTGCCCACACAGGGGGAGACTCTGACGCAGTGGGGAGGAGAGACGGTGAAGCTCGTACGGATCGAGAAAGCGCGAGACATTCCCCTGGTGAGAAAATCTAACGCACCCCAATAATATTTTTACAATCTTCTACCATCAATACTGGTCTAGTACTAGTAGTGGTGAACCAGGACTAATAAACCAACCTGGACGTAACCTGGACGTAACCTGGACGTAACCTGGACGTAACCTGGACGTAACCTGGACGTAACCTGGACGTAACCAGCCTGTGTTAGTGGAGGACTTGTGGATATCATAAGAGAAAGTAGATGAAGAGTCAGATCTATGTAATGCTGATAGATGGTCATTTTTGTATCGTTTCTGACATGTTTTCTTTATGCAGGGAGCTACAGTGCGTAATGAGATGGACAGTGTTGTGATCAGTCGAATCGTTCGTGGAGGAGCAGCTGAGAGGAGCGGACTTTTGTCTGAAGGAGACGAGATCCTGGAAATAAATGGCATCGAAATCAGAGGGAAAGACGTCAACCAAGTGTTTGACATCCTGGTGAGTCAGACTATATAAATGACACAGGTTTAAATGGAAGCACAAACCAACCAGGTTCAAGTTTCTCAGCCTGTATCAATATGCGATACCGATGTTTGATACTAATATTTTTTTGTCCATGTGTCATTCAAATTGTCCTCAGTGTATCAGATTGGTCTTTTTGAGCAGACTCATGAATAACAATGGAAATAGAAGAACGTTATAAGACCAAATATTGGATGTCGTATTGGCAGAAAAAATTAATAAATAAAAAATCGGCCCATTCCTAGAAAAAAAAAGTCTAAATATTTACTCTTAGAAATGATTATAGCCATCTATTACAGTAAGGGGTATCAGGACAGTCGCAGATACATTTTTGCAAGTTGTATTATTATTATTATTATTATTTATTTTTTTATATATATCACTGTTGGCATGAGCTTTCTGTTCCACATTGCACTGATCTACTCTAGTTTGATGGTCTAGAGTTCTTTGAGGCGTGGGCTTCCGTGTGTTATATAAACAGAGTGATGGTTCATTCATAAAAGTGTGTATGTGTGTGTGCGTGTGTGTTTCAGGCCGACATGCACGGCCTCCTCACCTTTGTGCTCATTCCCAGCGCCCAGACCAAACCTCCTCCAGTCAAAGAGTCTGTGGTGAGTATCTGTCATACAGCAATCGTCTAAGTATGCTTTAGTTTTTAGTGGTAATTGGTTAAAGGGGCCCATATTAAGCTATTTTATGATCCGTGTTATGATAATGTTTCACAACAGACCTGGAGTTGTGTTTTGTTTCATTCACACATGTTCAACACAAAAATCCTTCATATTTAGGCTGAGTTTTTCTCGCAAACTGAAAACACTCTGTTCCACCTTTGTGATGTCATGCGGTAAAACAGGAAGTGCTACATTGTTTTAAAACCCCATACATCATCACTAGAATCAGTTGGATAATTTGAGCCCTGGAACTGTCAATCTCTACTAAACAAAAGGTGAAAGGAGCTGTTCACTTGAAAACTACGGCTTCATGACATCATAGGGTGGGACGGAGCATTCTGAGCTTTGGAGATTTAGACAAACTAATAATAAAGGATTACTCAAACATGTGTGGCTGAAACAAAACACAACTCCAGGTCTGTTTTTGAGGAGGTATCAGTATTATAACATGGTTTAAAGCTCACAAAAATTCATGCTTATATTATGCAAAACATTTTTATAATATAGAAGCTTTAAAGGGAGTGTATTTTGGATAAGTGACTTTTGAGGCTTTTAAGACTGGGGGTAAACCATGAAAAGAGGAATTGCAATATCAACTGGAACTGACCCTGACTTGTTCCTGGCTCTAACAAACATTTATCACTTTTAGAATGTGACAGAATTAATGTCACTTCAATCTGTTATGGTAGTTTCTGTTATAGCCCCCTCTGCTGGATATTTTATACACAAACTATGTTTCATCTAAGGCTTTCAGGTGTTGAGGTATTTCCAAGGCACAAATTATTTAAAGTTGTACTATAGTTCGGTAGACATTGTTTTTAAAAGCCCAGTAATACTATAATAATACTAATCCTGGTTTGATCCCTCTTTAGTCTTGAAGACTTGATTAATCTTGGTTTAGTCCTGGTTTTGATGTAGATTTAATATAGGTTTGATTTGGCCCTGGTTTATTCCTGATTTGATCCCTGTTTAGTATTGACATATACTTGATGAGGTCCTAATTTAGCCCTAGTTTAGTCCTAGTTTAGTCCTGGTTTAGTCCTGATTTAGTCCTGGTTAAATCCTGGTTTAATCTTGGTCTTGAAAGTGAAAGTGACATAGGCTTTTCCCCAAAATTTTATATAAAAAAAAAAAAAATCTTTTGGACTCGGCCTAGTGTGCTTTGCATTTCTTCACTTTTAAATTGCTGCCTGTTGCATTTGTACCTCTACAAGAACTTTGGATTGTGTTTTCTGTTTCATTTGATTAGTCTTGGTCTTGTCCAGGATTAGTTCTCTCTTTAATCCAATTTCGATGTGGTGTTACTGTAGTATAAACGCAGCTAAAATATTTTTAAGTAAAGATGTTTTTTCTGATCATGACCCCATGAACCCAGTGACCTCCTGAATGACCCGGGGGAGAGGTCATTGACAGATCTGTGTAATCTTCATAATCCGCTCCTTGTTGTTACACTGACATGTCCGTAGATTAGCTGGACTGGCCCTGATCCAGATGTGCCTTTAATCCTCTCTTTTTACCTCATCCTATTTTCTTCATACGTCTCCTCTCCTTAGGTTCATGTGAAGGCGTTTTTCGACTATGACCCCTCGGATGACCCCTACGTGCCTTGCAGAGAGCTGGGTCTGTCCTTCCAAAAGGGGGACATCCTCCACATCATCAGCCAGGCCGACCCCAACTGGTGGCAGGCGTACAGGGACGGAGACGAGGACAACCAGCCACTCGCAGGACTAGTGCCAGGTACATGCTAAAGTTATCAAAAGTATTGAAAAGCAGATACTAGTTGAAACAAAAAGTGATATTGAGCAGGTGTCAATACTAAAAACATCCCATTGACAGGACAGAAATGAACCTTTCCTGAATGTCTTTAGAATGATCTTGAGCTGCATCAGAGCAAGTATAAGAGCACATAGACTAGTATACACCCATGGACCATTATGGAACCTACCTGGACCACTGAGGGATTACACACATATAAGCCCATATGGTAAAAGAAAAGAAAATACTACTAGAAAATCACACCCTATTGTCTAAACAAAGAATACGTTTTTTTTTTTTATTATCACCATGGTATCAGAATCAGAATCCGTATCAGTATCGTGTCCTTTCAATTCAATCTTTTTTAAGAACACGTAATATCTGGTTGCTTTCCTTAGTATCGATACCAAGTTTTAAATTTTAGTATCATGAGAACACCAGTACATACTGAGTTTATCAATGAATAAATCAATATTTATAAAAGCAACCCTCAGTAACTTTCTGCAGGTGGTATGGCAGGGAGATAGGGCCTAAGTATGTAACAAGATTTAATAGATTTTATTGGAGGAAATGTGCAATTATGATGAGTGAAGCTCAAGCACATACTTAATAGCATTTAGAATACTTGTCCTTACCTATCAGGCTATTAAGGTTATTGTTTATAAGTTCTAGTTCTACTCTGAATTCAAAGATATTTTTAGAAAACGTAGTAATATTAGCAAAAAAGCTACAATTTAAGATTAAAATATAAAATGTAGATAATAATTAAAACCGTTTTTAAATGTAACTATGCATTTTTGTTTCACAGGAAAGAGTTTCCAGCAGCAAAGGGAAGCCATGAAACAAACAATAGAAGAAGACAAAGAGCCTGAGAAGCCTGGTCTGTGTTTTTCACTGGAACTCATTTAAATATGTCTGGATTCAATGTCTTCAACTATTTTATTTATTTATTTTTTTTATTTTTAGGAAAATTGTGGTGTGCGAAGCAGAAAAAGAAGAAGAGGAAGAAAATGCTTTACAACATGCACAGGAACGATGGTAAACATGTCTCTTTTTGCCCTTTACTTTGTTCAATACTGTGTTTTTTGTTGGTTTATTGAAATTTTTCAGCACTTGAGGGTAGTACTTGGTTTTAAAATTTGTAATTGAAACAAACCCTTATCTTGGTCTTTGTGTGTGGAGTTTGTGTGCTTCTCCCTGTGTCTGGGTGGGTCTCCTCTGGGCACTCCAATTTCCCTCATCAAAACAAAATATGCACAGTAGGTCAAATCCTCCAGCTAAACAGAGAATTGATGTATTGATTAAAGATGCATTGTGCAACTTTGGTCTGTTTCCTGCTTGTCTCCATGGAGATATTATTGCTTTGCCTCGAATGTTCCATGGTATGACATTAAACACATCTATCTAGCATTTATTCACTATGGTTGTTTTTGTTGCTCAAAAATACAATAATTCTCTCTGTGAATAGGGTTTCCTCTTCACAGATCTGACCTGTAATGTAGCCTGTAGTTGTCTCCTTTGAGAAAAGTTGCGCAATGCACCTTTAAGAGATTAATAACTTATACCTTAAAAAATAGTTTTAAGTGGAACGGTGCGTACAGCTCATAATAAACCACAACAACAACATGTTCCCTTTGTGTATACTTTGTTGACATCAGTGAGCATCTATGAGATTTAAGTCAAGCATTTTCATTTATTTCAATCAGAACATAAATTAATTCAACATAATTCACGTCATTACCAGAAGTTTTTTATCATTGTTCATATTTTGTCTCAGATGTTGATAACGATGAGATCCTGACCTATGAAGAGATGGCTCTGTACCACCAGCCGGCCAACAGGAAGCGCCCGATCGCTCTGATCGGTCCGGCGAGCTGTGGTCAGAGCGAACTGAGAACAAGGCTGCTGCACAACCACCCGGACAGATTCGCTGGAGCTGTACCACGTAAGAGACTGGACTTTACTTTTTATTTGACTCATTGTTATTACATAAATCTTATATATGTCATTGTTTTCCTCACAGACACCACGAGGAGCAGGCGTGACGGAGAGCTGAGCGGACGGGACTATCATTTTGTGTCCAGACAAACCTTTGAAGCAGAACTAGCCGCCGGTAATAAGTAGTTACTGCCCTCCATCTGACATAGTCTGTGTTTGGGCTTTATCAAATCACATGTTATATCCCTCTTTCGATCCGTTCTACAGATATGCTGTCTGTGGTTCATCTCTCTAAATAACTGCTTTAAATATTTGTTTTTGTTCAGGGAAGTTGATTGAATCTGGAGAGTTTGAGAAGAATCTTTATGGGACCAGCACAGACTCAGTGCGACAGGTCATCAACACTGGAAAGATCTGCGTGCTCTGTCTGCACACACAGGTCAGGAATATGAGCGCAACTTAGCATTATTTAAGATGTTTTCACTCAGGCTGCTGAGCTTGAGGAGCGTCTCTCATTAAGTTGATCCAATTTGCTTCATAGGACAAAGGCAAACAGTCAGATCTGCAGCACCCATTCATACAAATATAGCCCACATGAAATATAGCCCATGGTCCAAGCGCTTTTTCATCCAGTTCAGTACAGTTTGTTTAACATTATTTCACTTGTTTCTAATCATATTTTATTGTCTCTCTGTCCTCAGGCTCTGAAGGTGCTGAGGAGTTCAGATTTAAAGCCTTACATCATCTTCATCGCTCCTCCCTCACAGGAGCGACTGCGCGCCCTGCTGGCGAAAGAGAACAAGAACCCGAAGGTACAAGTGTGTGTGTGTGTGTGTGTGTGTGTGTGTGTGTGTGTGTGTGTAAGCTGTGTAAGCTCAGTGTGCATCAGCCTGTTAAAGGGCACTGCTCGAGTTTGATTGTTTCGTACATTTGGAGAGTTTCTGACCCCATGAAGTTTATACCAAAATTTGGGCAGCCAATATTTAGACATTATCGTATTTTTCGGACTACAGGTCGCTCCGGAGTATAAGTCGCACCAGCCCAAAAATGCATAATGAAGAAGAAAAAACATATATAAGTCGCACTTTTGGGGGGAAATGTATTTTATGAAATCAGGGAAGAGGAACCAACATTTTATCTTGAAAGGCAAGTTCTAGTAATATCAACAGAATACAGAACAACAGACTGAACAGGTGTTAATATGTTAACATAACATATTAACAGTTCTTCAGATAACTAGAGCATAAACAACAGAACATAAGTTTACCAAACTCACAATCTCACTCCAAATCACTGAATCCATTGAATTCTTCATCCTCGGTGTCACTTCTGAGCAACTCCGCTTAACTTCGGTTGCCACTGAAGTCCAGGCTTTGTCATCCAGTGACTTTCAGGAAAGTTGCATGGTGCATCCCCCGGTTACCGTGAAGCTGTGTTCTCCATCCCTACTTTCCTCCACTTCCTCACAAGTTTCTCGCTCACTCCAGACTTTCTTTCTGCTGCTTGATTACTGTTTTCTGTTGCATATTTCACTACTTGCAGCAGGACAGCAGCTCTTTCTGCAGGAGACATGCGCAGAAAACTGATACACAAGACTAGAGCGCACTCTTGCGGTTGTCACTCTGAACATTTTAATATATAAGTCACACTGGAGTATAAGTCGCAGGAAACACCCAAACCATGAAAAAAGTGCAACTTAAAGTCCAAAAAATATGGTATATAACCACTCAACTTTTTGTATTTTGTGTTGTGTCTGCAGCCCGAGGAGTTGAGGGACATCATAGAAAAGGCTCGTGAGATGGAGCAGAGCTGTGGGCACCTGTTTGACGCCATCATCGTGAACACGGACCAGGACAAAGCCTACACCGAACTGCTCAGGCTCATCAACAAACTGGACACAGAGCCGCAGTGGGTGCCCAGCTCCTGGCTACGCTAATGCTAATCATGCTAATAATGTTAACGCTAACAATACAGAAACACCACAGGCTAAAGTTCTACACTGCAACAACGAAATCTCTATGTGACTTAAAATGACTTGGATTCAAAGTATTACTTGATTTGAGTAGGTTTTGACATTTATTTTAGTTAATAGGTCTACATTTTTGACTAGTTTCCTTTTTGCTTTCTTCATCTTTTCAACTAAAAGTCCATGGATTTGACTTTTGGTTTTTAACTGATTAAGTGAAGTTTTCTTTCTTCACTGACACAAATTTGGAATGACATGGGGAAAAAAAAATGACACTGGAAGTATTAAAGTACCTACGTCACATTAGACTACTCATTTTACTCAAACAAATCATGATATTTGAGATTTATGCAAAAACATTCACACTCGTTTTACTAATCTGCCAATTTTTTTAATTAAAAATTTGACTTCCTGGTTGGAAATCATCATCACAATTTTATAACTGTTACCTAGCAACCATTTCATACACAGGACCAAACTCCTCTAATGTACACAAAAACTCTTATCCGACAAAATACAAATATAAGTATGTATCGTGTAAATTGGGCCAAACTTTTGTGGGACTCTCTAAAATGAAACACGCCACTTCCTGTCATTTTTTCAACATTTTTCAGCTTTTCTTCGCAAATTTCCCCTTGATTTGTGTAAAACTATAACTTATATTTACAGTACTTATAATGCCACCAAATGAAGTCACAATTATAGAATCATAAAAATTCGTCATATGCACTTTAAGTGTCAAAACCTACTCAAAACAAGATGAATATCCCCAATTAAAGCTGTTTTGACTCATGTAGGTATTTCCTTATTGCAGTGTAAATGGGTTTCTATCCAGACCTCTATTCGCCTTATTCCAGAAGTTACTATGGGAACACCAACATTTTTCCAGTTGTATTATTTTGCATGGGGCTGACACATCTTGACAAAAAATACATTCTATAGGGACTGCAAAGCTGTTTTAAACCCTCCCATAGAATCTGTGCATTATTGACTTGTTGTGCACATGGACATTGATCATTCTACACAGTTAAACCTACTTTATATTATATTTTTAGTAATGCATTTCCTTCAGAATCAGTACAGTATTTATTTATTTTCTCAAATTCTCCGTTAAAATGAATAAAAAGGGCCCATATTACGCTCTTTTCTGATCTGTTATAATGTTGTTTCTTTATCACAAACAGACCTGGAGTTGTTTTGTTTCATTTACACAAATCCTTCAATATTTAGTCCTTCCCTCAAACAGAAAACACTCCTCCTCCACCTTGTGATGTCATGTGGTAATACCAGAAGTGCTCCACTGTGTTTTTAAACTCCATACACCATCACTAGAATCATTTGGATAATTTCACCCCTGGAATTTCCAATCTCTACTGAACTAAAGGTAAAAGGAGCTGTTAACTTGGAAACTACTGCTTCATGACGTCACAAAAGTGGAACAGAACATGTTGAGCTTTCAACATGTGGACAGACTAATAATAAAGTGTTACTTAAACGTGTGAAACAACAAACATGAAACAAACACAACTCCAGGTTTTGGAGAGAAGGTAACAACATTCTAACATGTCTTCAAACTCACAGGAGTCACTTTTGCATAAGATACAACCTTTAATCGGTAATGCCAAAACGCCGGTGTGTGCGTGTGGATTAGTAGCAGTTAGAAATAAAATAAGGGGGAGGAATAAGGTGAATAGATCAACAGCCTGTGGAGATGGAGAGATTTTGGGACACACATTTCTGGATTACAAACTGGACCTGTTTTATTGCTGCTTCAAACCACTTTAACAACACTAAAATATGACAATTTACTACAAAAACTACAACAAAAAAACATTATTGACACAAATACTTCAACTCATAACTATATTGTGACTGGAGAGGACTACATTGATTGGTTTTAATGTTTTGTTTTTTCCCTTTGTCAATTTTTAAATATATTTTTTTAATATTCCCCTCTCCTTGTTATTGAGGAATAAGTCTCCCAGTATTTTTGCAGATTTTTTTTTAAACCACATGCCCTTGAACAATAAATTCCTAATCAGAAAAAAAGCCAGATGCCTTTCCTGTCGCTACAACCCACATACTGTGAGTGTAGATGAACAGGTAAAGTGTCTTGCACAAGGACACACCAATAAAATGCACTCATGACCTTTCAGATAAGTCATTGATTGTGACCCCTTAAAAAGTATCGATAGTGAATTTTGGAAAAAACTAAAACATCACATTAATAAATATTCAAGTACCATCCAGCATAATTTATTTCTCACTATTCTATATCAGTTGTCTCCATAGTTTTAACACTCTAAATTCAAACTGGCCACATTAAGCACTACTTTAAAGAGGCACTATGTAACTTTTCTGACCTCTATTAATTTATTATTGCTTTGACTGTTCCGCAATATGGCATTAAACATATTTTTCTTGCATTTATTTAATTGAAGATGCACCTATTGCTAAAAAAAACGTATAAAAGATGTATTTTTACTCTGAGGAGGGTTGCCTTTCCACAGATCTGACCCTGTGGCATCTCCATGGAAATAAGTTAATGCCATACTGTGGAACAATCCAGGCAATGCTGGAGACAAACGGATGGCGGACGCTCTACTAGAAAAGTTACTTAGAGCCCCTTTAACAAAAACACTACAATATTTGTTTGATAGGTTACACATGATCATTATCTGAGACCATGCACACCACCGGACACTACCTTTTAACTCATTATTCTGTTCTTTTTAAGCTTTTTATGTTCCTTTTTTATCCTAAGAACATTTCAGTTGTTCAGATTAAAGCTATTAAAATAATGACACAAATCTCTGTAAACTTCTGATTTACAATTTTTATACAAATATGGCCGCAGGTTTGTCTCGGCCATGTGCAAAGGACAAAATGTGAAAGGCACATATTTGAAATTCACTTTGAGTTGATTCCTTTTAATATGAAGAAAATGTCACTACTTAATTTTTAACCAGCAGTGCTTTAGCTGTGACTGGGACAGCACTTTTTTCTACTGGACAAACTACTGTTATTAACCTGCGATACACACTACGGACATGTTTAAAGCTCCTATATTATGCTAATTTTACTTTTTATTTCATTTTACCCATGTTATAAGTTTAGGTGTTTGTAAATTTATTCACAGTCACACTTTTGCAATTATTTATGTAACAATATCCTCTACGAACAACAAAATCTCCAGGCTTTTAATGGTAAAACTGTTTAGACTAGAGCTTTACAAACATGTTCTGTTTATCAGTTCATAATTTGCCTTCTCTCAAATGTTAATGCTCGTAAATGCTCCTAATGCTCGTCTAAATCTTATCATAACTCTGATACTTAACACGCTGTACTTCAAAAATATTCCTGACATTGTAGAATATACCTGGAGTTTATTTTCGCAACACTAGACAAATTTGGATTTACATTATAGATCTTAAACTGCCTTCACTACATCGCATTGTCTTAAAACATACCTGGATTTTATTTAGACTTACTACATTTATTTTAATCATTACAGATTTGCCTTCACTACAAACTAATTTCAAGTATTGCAAACATGATTATCTAATCTGTAGAACATAAATTAGCAGCATGATTGTTCTTGGCATTATAAAACATACTTTGACATCATGTATTCCCCTCTGTTTCCAGCAGAGGGCGACTACAAACACCTAGTCCAAGCATTCTCTGTCAAAGTGTAAGGTTAAATACATATATTTTTCAAACATCCATTATTTGAAGTTATAAAACATGAAATACCGGTACAAACGTGTCTAAAAGTATTACAAAACACCTGAAAATAGCATAATATGGGAGCTTTCTGAGTTGACTGACAATGGACTTCTGTCTTTAGTCAAATTGACACTTAGGCCCTAGAATCACAGACTGTATTTATATCTTCTTTATACAGTCTATGTCTGGAAAATGCCAAGAAAGTGGTAGGTTTTAGTTTTGTCCTTTCTCAGCTCAAAAATGCTGATTTATCATAATGTATTTTAGTATGTGTGTGATTTTTGAGTGTAGAAACGAATGTGTGTGTGCCTGTCCATGAATACAATTAAGTATTATTACTGAAGTAGGCCTGACCACTGTTATATCACTGTGTAGAGCATTTATATATTTGTAAAATTAAAAATAGACTATTATGAGAACAGAATGCACCAATAGCGTAACTGGCTTTACTCCCTCATTATTATTAACCTCCTTGCCGTTGGTTGAGGAGAAAATTCAAGGGGGGGTCAAAGCTCGGTGAAATTATCTATTGAATGTAAATGTAATTGAAACCACTTTCTCTTGTCACTTGTTCTTGAGAGAATCAACTTTTTGTATGAATATTCACAATAAAGAAATAAATAGATGATTCATAGAAAAGAATTGTGACTTTTTTTTTGTATTTGTTCATCCGGTAACGGCCACATTGCAAAAAAAGAGAAAAAAAAACTTAAATTCATTGCCTAATGTTTATCATGATTTGAGAAGTTAAGATATTTTTGGGTTTAATTACTTGTTAATAACTTTTTTTTAATATATTTTTGACAGTTTAGCTTTGAATAATTTGTAAACTATCTTTATAATTTTGGGTATGATATTTTTAAGTATTTTTTTTTTTTGTATTTTAATTTTGTACTCTGCTGGTATTGGTAGATAATGAATTAAATAAGCTGTTGAAACTTGCCATTTATATATTGTAGTTATGTAACCTAATATAGACATAGGCCGAGCTAATCAACAATAAAATAAAAAAAACTTTAACATGATTTTTTTTTCTGATTTCTAGTAATGTTAACTTAAAGATATTCCTTTTACAGCAGTTTTCAAGGCTTCTTTTATATGCAACTCCAGCTAATATCCACACAATGGCGCTATTTTTTAGATCTTTGACGGTTTGTGTTTGGTGTCAAATGAATGGTGTCAAATTAAAAAGAAACCACACAGGGAGTACTGCTTATCCAAGGTCAGTCTATTCATTGATGCGTAACAGTTCTGGAGTTTTGCCATTAACTTTTAGGATTACAAATGTATCCTAGCACCACCAGTTCAGTTAACTTTTTAATCGTTGGCCAAAACCACAAAATCCTTAATTAAACGTTCAGACATGCCTATACACGTTTTATTTGGTCTTAATTGTTAAACCTGTTCACTTGTATCGCCTTTTATTGCATCTCTTTTCCGTTTGCAACCTGTTCAAACACCAAAGAGTTACAAAAAACGAGAGGAATTTAGTACAACTTTTAGACTTCGGATCAAATTTACAATTAAATTGTAAATGTAAATTATTATTTCGATGCAAAAATCTACATTCTCTCTACTGCTTTTTACTTTTATATGCAATTTTATATCTTTTAAACCTTATCTATTTAGTTTTTATTCCGAAACAACGACTTGAGCGGCTATCATTTTCTTGTCACGCTTAACTCTTTGGTGAATTCGGTTTGTCTGAAGTTGACGTCAGCTTCATGAAAGATAGTGGATTTTGATTGGCTGTTGGGGGAGACTTAGGCGGGACTTTTGTGTTTCTCCGTTAGAGGATTGGCTCGTATAGCTGTCCATCAAACTCCCGGCCTTGGAGTCAGGTTGATGGAGAGAAACACACAGGGGAGAGAGGTAGAGGGACAGAGATGTTGCAGCGGACCGCGTGAATTGTTACTCAAATGGCGTCTGTTTTGTTTAAATTAAATCAACCGTTTCAATAGAACATTACGGAAAGAGTTTTTACGCCTTTTTGTTCGCTTTACGGTGCGAGTTCGGTATCCTTGACAACACGAGCAACTGTCCTGCGAAGTTTGGGATCAAGTGCTTTACCTTTGCTCCTGGAAATGGATACACAAACCTCACTTTTCTAACAAAAAACACTCTGGATTACACGTTACAATGTCGTAATCTTCTTTTTACGCGGATTCCACTTGCATTTTATTCCAAAAGTGTGAGTTTTTTAGGGAAACGGGACAAAGCGACACAATAGTAGGTCGTGGACACAGGGGGGAAACCGATGCGTTCTCCTCCTCGCTGCTGCGGGCTTTTGTTCTGCCCCACCACGAGTTACTGACCACGGACATTGATTGATTGATTTCGGGGTATTTATGGTAACTTTCTCCTCTTTGATGCCGTGCAGCCATGGATGTTACCCTGTCCGAAATGCTGGCGACTTTCATGGAGTCGCCACTCGTGGTTTGGGTAGGTACACTTCATTTTTAGATCATGCTTTCATACGACTTCAGATGCTAAACATTGAAATTAAACTCAACATTACAAAATATCATAATCTAGATTACAATTAGCATGCGTTTACGGTTTTATACTACATTGCAATAAGATCACTTGTTGCAAAAGTTGTGGTTTTTGGTCTGAATAGAATCAAAAGTGTCTACCCATAGTTTTGATCACGCTTGAATGAACTCTGCCTACTTTTCTTGCAGCCACTTGCTCAACAGGTTTGCTATCAATTTCATCTGTATTGACCTATATTATAAACATGTAGTTCCCTATATATTTTTTTAATGACAATAGTATTTTGGCTTGCTTGCATTCCCCAGCTGATTTAAGCCACTAGCAGTGACCTTAGTAACTGAAAAGTGAAACAAAATCCACTTAAAACTAACCAAAGTCGTTTACAGAGGCATGTTAATCATCACAACAAAGTCATAGCTGCCTCTTCTCAGTGTTTTCCATTAGACTCAGCTATAAATTCTAGTGTTAGAGAGGTTTTTATTGAACCTATGGCTATAACTTCAAGCAAAGGGCAGTGGGCAGTGGGCAGGTCATGAACTTCCTGTTTTTACATGACCTCATTGAAGTGGCCCATCTATATGTGGTCACTCATCAATATTTCCTGTCTTTGTTCAGCTTTGGTAAACACAATCAACATAAATAAACAGTATACACAATACTTTCACTATGTGGTTTTCAACTGGGGAGTTCAAATTGACCAAAAATAAGAACTTTATTGCCAAAATTAAGTATATTAAAGAGTAATTTTCACTACTGTAGTCTGAAAACTAGCTGGGCAAAAAATGGGTTAAAACAAATTATACTTTATGGTGACAGTGTTATCATAAACCTTTTTTTAATCAGTAAACAGTCCCATTTTGTTCAGGAAAGGCAATAAGTAACTTTTGTGCACCAAAATATTGCTCTGGAATGGTCCACCGTGTTAAACTTATCTATCTCCATGGAAACACGACGCCACCAGGTCAAGTTACAGGTCAGATCTGTGGACAAGAGGTGACCCCATTCACAATAAGAATGCATTTTGAATACTAAAACACCTGGAATTGAATAAATGCAAGGTAGATATGTTTAATACCATACTGTGGAACTTTCTAGGCATAGAACTGACATTTCCATAGAGACAAAAAGGAGACAGTTACATATTGCACCTTTTTAAGAGATGAAGTTGTTTAATGCTTTATGTGTTTATATATTTTGGGCAACAGTTATTCAGTTGGAAGAGAGATCCCCCCATTAATCCAAAAGTTGTCAGTTCTAGTCCCTCTACTTGGAATGCATCAGTTCTGGGCCCTTGGGCAAGACATTTTATCCTGGCTTTCCCCCAGTGTCAGTGTCTGATGTATGAATAATTTAACGGTTGCTTGCTTAAAAAGCGCTTTTAGAGTGTCCTATAGAGGTAGAAGGATTAGGATGGAAAATTAGGATATGGATGTCACTTTCTATATTGTTTTTACAGCAAATTCTGAATAGTTTGCAAGAGGTTAGAATACCGCAAAAAAATCCAGGGAACTAAATAGAAAGGCTAAAAAAACCTGTCATAGATCATACAATGTCCGATCTTCCAAGCCAGATCAGTTGCATATGTCAGTGAGGCTGTATTTTCAATCAGAGGGTCCCTTAGGATTTAAAGATCTGTTTGGTTTTGACAAATGAAAGGGGTAAAGTTTGCCTCTGAGCAAAGCCCTCAATCTGTAAAAACAAGTGGGACGAAGATCAGAACACAGCAGAGGCATAGGGCAGTTGTTTCCAGTGGTGAGTGGTACAGTCCTACATTCTCAAAGCCATCGCCACAAATTATAATACTGTGTTTGGAGCAGAAGATAGAGATGGAAATATCTGTACCGTATCTATTTTATTAAAGATGCACTGTGTCATTTTTCCAGTTGGAAGGTCCACCAAATGCTTTTCTCCTGCTTTGTCTGGAATATTTCATTTCCTATCTTCATGGAGACCAAACTAAGCCAAGTTACAGGTCATATCTGTGGAGAGGTGACCCTGCTTGCAGTCAGGCTGAATCCCATTACACCCCATGGCCATACGACTTTACCACGTGTAGGGGTAGTGGTGTCCCAGTTACCATTATGGCTGAGGTTAGTGAAAGTGTTAGGACTATATACCCCTCCAAACGAAGATTTTTCAGAGGCACACTCCAAACAGATGGGTATGAGCAATTTCCCAGAATGCCTTCCGAATCACCGGCAAGATGGCTGCTACCATGAGCGCAGAGACCAAAGAAGTTCACAAATTGTGGACAGCATATTGGATTTCTGACAAAAGCTCATCGCGTCTGCTTACATAAAAGCTGTTGATTGTCGCTTGTGTCCCAATTCATAAGGGGTAGGGGTAGAAATTAGAAATGGGATTTGCCTTTTTCTAGGTATTTTTGAGCTGTAAAACCACCTATAATTGAATAAATGTAAGGTAGAGCTGTTTATTTTCATACTGTGGAACATTCCAGGCAGAGCAATGACATATCTATAGAAACAAACAGCTGACAACCCACCAACCAGAAAGTTACATAGTGCACCTATAAGTAAATCACTTTATTTGATTAAAAATGTATTTTTAGTATCTCAACGTGTAACTTGAAATAGTTGTTTGACTAGTCCACTGATAGGAAACATAATGGCTGACAGCACTTGCCTCTGATGCCCTGCGATACATCGACCAAAGTTTGCTGCCAGTCTGCCCATCAATAGGTTGGTGAGGTCAAACAGTGCAGATCTTTTAATGTGTTCTGTTGTGTTGGTTAAAAGGGCTGCACGATTTTGGAAAATATGTAATTGCGACAAGATTTGCAGTTGATGTTCTACAGCTGGGATGTCAAACTCAAATTCACAGAGGCCAAAATTAAAAACTGGGACTAAGTCGTGGGCCAAACTAAATATTTACTGAAAAACTTCAACAACATCTGCATGTTTTCTCTTCTTTCAAGATATGTAATGTTAAACCTTTTCTTATTAAAATAAATGTTTTTTAATAGTTTTGCTGTAGCCGGAAGGACAGCTCTAATACATATTTGATATGATCTCATGGTCCAAATATAATTATATCACTGGCCAAATTTGGCCCCTGGACCTGAGTTTGACATGTCTGTTCTACAGTATATTAGGATTCAAAGTTCACCCTTTAAACATGCCCAAAAGCAATCGAATTTGAGAGAAGACTGAAATATGAACTGATAATTTAATACAAGAATCACATGCATTTCAGAACCTGTTTGGAAAGGTTTAAACTACAGGGTTAGCTTTATTTATTTGTTTATTTATTTATTTATTTATTTTGGATAATATCACTACATTTTCTTTGCAGTGATGAGGATATTTTCTCCATTTCCACAATAACATCTGAGCTGTAGAGAGTAGAATAAATAACAGCAAAGGCAGTCTTTATGTTTTGCTAATTGCCTCCATTCAAACTGATTTTGATAAACTTGCAGCCCTAGAAGATGGTAACAGAATAAACAGATAAATTATAATGTTAATTTCTTCTGTTCTTTCAGGTTCGGACTCTGGGCCCTTTGGCGTCCAGCGAGGAGGCGGGGTCAGAGGACAGAGTCAGCATGTTTATGGAGCTGGTCGATGGAGTTTTCCTGCACAAAATCATGACACAAATGTAAGTTACACCCCAGAATGAGCCATTAAGCGTGAGTCAAGTTTAAGAGTGTGCCGTTTTTTGGCCGTTAGGCTCTGGGTGACTGATTTTGAGCGGTAAGAGTTAATCTAGTGCTTCCTGTCTGTGTCTCTGAGCGCGACCACATCCTGAACGAGCTGCTTTCAGGTTTAGATGCCAGATGTGAGGCTGCAGGAGAGAGAAAGTGCTGCTCTCGACTAAATGAAGTTTGACACGTGAAAAGTTGTAACATTGGTTTTGGAGCTAAGATTAAAGTCTTAAAAATCCACACAGACACAGAATACACTGATACTTTGCAGCTCGTGTTATCAAAATTCCCTGTGGGTGTGATGCTAACTGTAGGCACTGCTCTGTCTGAAGCTTTGTTAGACTATAATCTGATCTTTATTTTAACATAATCTGAACATAAATCTGACTACAACAGAAAGTACAGTCCCAACTAGCTACCATTTTTTTAGTTAGTATTCTAAAAAGTGCTGGCAGTGTTTGCTAATGTGTGCTTTTTTTCTCCATGGTAACAGCTGAACATTCCACCATTGATATACATGTAGAACACCCCCACCATGATGTCACTGAAGTATCAATACAAACATTTTAAAAGGGAAATGTTCTGCAAAACTGACTTCATGACCTTTAAACCATATTATAAATGTTTCCTCTGAGCTGTAATTCACTCAAGTGTGTAGTTGGAGTTATTCACGCATGTTGGGGTCTTTTTGTCCTACATTTTTAAATTATTTTATTTAGATAAGGATTTATATGGGACAACAGCAGAAAGAAGAAGCGTGGTGAATGAGTGAGTTAGCTGAAGATTCAGTATTTTTTGGTATTTATCGTAAAAGGAAGATTAAACTCATGACTCACAAATGGAATCTTTTTAATCTTAGTCTTTATATAAACACGTGGTTTCCAAATAGTTTTTTTCTGCCTAAATAGTTTTTGCAGGTAGTATTTTTCTGCAGCTGTGGCCTTGTGAGTGCAGTCTGGGTAAGATATAGAGATAAGTAATTGAGAGTTTCGAGAGCTTTTGACACGCCCCCTTTTAGTCGACTCATCAGTCGGCAGCTTTTGACTTTCAAACACTTTTCATAGAATAAGGACTAAACTTGGCCTTTATGCGTTGGTTCCAAACATGTCGGCCATTGATTTAACTTCTTTTACTTGTTGATGTTTAAATGTGTGAGACCCACTTTGACCCGTCCTCATCCAGACCACACGTTCATATGTTGCTCCACACAAACAATTATAATCTAATGCCATTGTTCTCCTCATTCAGATGGAGGCTGTTGTGACTGGAGTGTGATTAGGAGCCGAGGAGGGTCAATGGGAAACTGGGTTACAGAGGAGGGGGTGGAGAGGTTTGGAGTAACAGCAGTATTAGTAGTAGTAGTAGTAGTAGTAGTAGCAGAGTTGCCAAATTCACTTCTTTATAGCGACTTTGGGTTTTTGATAGTAGCAAGTCGTGGGTTCTGTTCCACAATAATACACCAAAGCTGTCAACAGTTACTTGACATTTTAAAATCATACTTATATAACAGTGAACATACTCATGTTAATCGTAGTACTCACAGTAGAAGCAGCAGAAGTAGTTTCAGTTTAATGATGGTTCATGATGTTTGATAGTGTTCTGTGGAACCTGAACTTTGCACACCCAATACCGCACTGTTAAAAATAAAAAGTTGACTCAACTTAAAATAGTAATACAACTTACTTAAGGTTTGTTGAGTTCACTTAGGGTCAAGAAATTATATATATATATATTTTTTTACAAAACATGTGAATATTATTTCACACAAAAACACATTCATAGTCCAGCAAGCTTCTTATTCTCTGTTTGGTGTCGTTAAGATTAGATGACCCAAGAAATGGTTAACTTATCAACTCGTGTTGGTGCAGTGAACTAAAAAAAGTTTTGCAACAGGTTTGCTAACTATTTTAGGTTTTAAAAGTGAACTGTTAAATTCAAGTCTTTAAGCTCAAGTGAAGAAGTCAAGTACATACAATATTTCAAATACAACAGAAGTAGAACATTAAAGCTCATTTATTAATTGTGTAATGCCACATTTCAAAACACAGTTTGGCACAACAGAACAGTTACAACCTAAACTTACTCTAACATCAGTGGTTTTACCATATTAATAAACAACCACAAAGAATGTAAACTATTATCAGTGAATAACTTATAGTAAACTCTAGTAGACTTGAGACTAACTGGTCTGAGCCAGGGCTAAATCAGTATTAAACCAGATTGATATGTGTGTCACTCTGAATGAAGTTCTACACATTATCATTTTCATTAACTGGGATGGCTCTTACTGAAAGTGATCATAAAACACAGAGCATCAAGATGATTATTTAAATCTGACTGGTCGAAGCGCTCAACAGCTAAACAAGATGAAAAATCAAACTTTAGTGAAATGCAGTCCTGTCCACAAATAAGGATGCACCAATACCGATGCTGGTATTGAAGAGCAGAATCAATCCAGGAATATTATCTGGATCAGATCTGTTCCATGACATCGATTCAGCTGATATTCCGGTTCGGATGTTGTGAGACTATTTACAGGCAAATGTTGGTCTAGAACATTTATTTGAACTGTTTTTTGATGGAAATAAAATGCCTTTTTCAGGCCCTGTAAAAAAAACTGAAAAAGCTGGATTGGATCTCTATCCACAAATGCACAAAGTGCTGAGAACTAAATAGTCCATATAGTCCATACAGGTGAAGTCCACTTCACCTGTGGCTCTGCCCACACTTGAGTGCTGCTCTGTGATTGGTCGCCTACCACCTGTCAGGCTCTATGGCACCAGCGGGGACAAGATTGATTCTGAACTCACAGATATCTCTGCTGTGTGAGGTTACAGAAAGACTAGAACTAAGTAAAAATGCAACACCTTTTCCATGGGGACTTTGAGTTTCAAACAGCACTTTTGTGTAGTAAGTTTATTAGAACGACCCAGGATGCCTTTAATCCTTTCTCCGGCTGGTTCACTGGTTTTCTCTTTCCAGTTTGAGTGAATTGATCTGACGTCATGACAACCTCCCAGTGGGTCAGACCCCCCCCCCCCCCCCCCTCCCTCACCCAAACCCCGCCCCCCTCCCGTTGAAATGCTAATGAGTCTGACACAGGCTAAACACTGAGCTACTCTCCTTTAAATCCTTCAGCTGAACAATAGTGGCCCCTAAATAGAGACACGGTTTGAGATGGGCGATCTACAGCCTGTCTGATCACAAGCACTGAACTTGTTTGGGGGAAATGAAAATAAGGTTACGTCTAGGATTAAACTAAATGAAAGGCAGATATTTATTAAAGATTTTTCTTATTAAGTCTCATGTTAGTCTTTGGTTGGTTTTGATTTAGTCTCTTGAAGTTTAAATTTTGACCCAGTTTGACCAGTAAATGATGACATGTGCATTTTTGCTTTAATTTAGCTGAACTTATTGTGCAAATTTTTATTTATTTTTTCCACTCGAAGGATTTATTACTGTAGTTACAACTGTTTGATTCCTCAGTGTACACTCAAAACCTCCATTAGCCCACCCAGTAACTTAAAGATGCACTGTGTAACATTTCTCACATTGGGGATACTCCTCTCTGAAGAATTGAACATATCTAGTATTTATTACCTGGAAAAACATTCATTCTTACTGTGAGTGGGCTCTCCTCTCCACAGATCTGACTTGTACCTTGGCCTCGGGATGGAGATTAATAATAATGCCATACTGTGGAATATTACAGCCAAAGCTATAACATCTATAAAAAAATGGTTTTATTATTTTGAATGAATGTGTGATAGATTTTGTAAAATAAATGAACTAAATGCCAATTAATAACTTTTTTTGTGTGTGTGTGTCTCCATAGCGACCCAAGCCCCACGCACCAGAGGCTGAGCAAAAACGTAAACAACGACGTGGCCCTACGGCTCCACAACCTCACAGTGCTGGTCCGCCACATCAGGACCTACTACCAGGTAAAAGAGACTCAAAGTACACAAAGTACTGTGTGTCAGATACTGTCCTACTACCAGATACATGAGAGACAGAAGTACAGTGAATCCAAAGTGCAGTAAATCAGATACTGTAGGTAAACCCCCCTCACACCTCCGTGCTGTGGAGGCTCTGTGTAAACAAGGCTACAGGAAAGAGCCAACAGCTGTAAACATGCCCCTCAGACAAACTGCTTTTTTGTTTGTTTTGAGTGTAGTTAGAAATGGCAGTGAGAAAAAAATATTCTCACGGTTTCCAATATCAATGGATCTTTGACGATACTGGTATTTGCAATAATATCAAACTGGTATTGTAATCGAGAATAATATCTGTATTTTTGGTGCTGCCTGGGTTTCTGGGTGCCCATGTGTCAGTCTTAAATACGGGTGTGCAAGAATATTGAAATATTAATATATTGTATCGTTGAATGTGATGATACAGTATCGATATCATGGGCTGCTGTGTCAATATATCACCAAGAGTATTTTATGGTGTGTCTTACTAAACTATTTTGTTACAGCGCTACAGTTGTTTTGTTTGTTTAGTCAATGGAAACTTTTATGCAACTCATTGTTTTGATGATTCAAATGTTTCTGTTTCATGTGAATTTTGTAAAAGAAGTAGTTTAACAAAGACTTTTAGTATCACAGCCATGATTTAGCCTTTATTGTCATTGAACTGTATCGAATCGATTTGAAATATGTTATACCAAATGAAAAGTGGACTGTATCGAGATATGTATCGTTTCATGGCATATGTATCGAGATATGTATCGTTTCATGGCATATGTATCGAGATATGTATCGTATCGGTAACTTCTTAATGATACCCAGCCCTGTTCCCAAATAGTTCTCAGTGCATCAGATTTGTCTTTTTGAACAGACGCATGAGTAGAAATAGAAGATTGTTATATGGCTGTATATTTACACAAACATGTAACTAATGATTTTATATCATTCAAAACTTTATTTGTATAGCACTTTTCAGACATAGTCGATGTAACAGAAAGTGCTTCACACAAAAACATTTGCAACAGAAAGCAGACCCCCCCATGTGTCATTTAAAAACAAATTACATATGTTTAAAAGAAATCCTAGATAAGTACATTGTGTTATTCATTTTACAAACATGAAAAGTTCATTTGTGATCTCCTTGCTATGGATTTTAAAAGCTTAAAATATTGATATGGCAAATATCTGCTATCAGCCACAGCAGCAAGACAAATATTGGATATCGGTATCTGCTCAGAAACATCCGTATGGGCCTATCCTTACTTTGACTTTGCTTTTTATGCAGCCAACATTATTCCGTTTCAGTAAAAACACTGCTATATTAATTGCATTTGTTTAGAACCAAAAACATCTGTTTGATGATTAGGAATAGCCATATAATTTTCAGTACCTTCTTTATTGTCGAAAGAGGTTTAGTGTCCCAATTTGCTTCCATCTTGTTTAAGTTCACTTTCTGTCCACCATTTTCCCTGTATTCCTGTGTTTTGTGGAGGTCTTCTTGTCCCTCTTGGTTCTTATAGTTTTGGATAGTTGTTGCTTTATGCTCAGCTGATGCCTTTTGCCTGGAGCCGAGTGTATGTGTGATTTTTACAGTATCATGTGTGAATCTTCTGACAAGGCTCCCTCTTCGTCCCCATCCACAAATAACAAACATTTAATAGTCTAATATAAGCCCCTATAGCTAATAAAGTAAATAGACTGCTTCATCATTTGGGATTTGAACGCATGAACACTTGTATTGATCACAGGCTCTTGAAAATGTGCTGCGTGCACTCTGTCACCGTGGTAACTGCGGAACATTCCACCACAGAAATACACCTAGAACACCCCCCTCATGACGTCACTGCAAAGTACCACTTCTGCTGATGCCTGCCCTAATCTGTTTCTTGGTTTGGCTCGCGTACAGTAGATTTTTTTGGTCGTAGCTCCTCACAGTCTCTGGTCTGTCCCTGCTCCACCCCTCTCAGTTATGCGTCTGTGTGGCCTCAGTACTTTGCAGTTGTTGTTATTTGATATTTGGCCTGTAAATGGGGACAGATTGTGTGTTAAGCCTGCCCCGGCACTGAACGGCGCACAGTTCAAGTCCTGTGGTCAGATCTGATTCCATTAAGCGTTACCAGCGGCAATAAAACGGATTACATGCTCTGGTTTGTGTAATCAAACCTTAATAGGGGAGTCCCACAACTTACGCACAAAGAGTTATTCAGCATTTTGCTTAAATATTGGGTATACATTTTAAACATTTGTACAGCTAATGAAATGCAAAACAATTGTTGAGTTTGAGTCATTCTCTCAAGTTTGCTTTTCAGTCCCTAATTCATGTTTACAGCTGGAGTTCAAGCTAAACTAATTGAGGCTAAAAAATGTTTACTTACTTACTAACTTACTTGAACAAGAAGAAAATAACAAATAGGATGAAGCTGGATCTTGAATAGTTGATCCTAATCTGTATCAGAAGGATTATAAAACCATACTGTGATTTTCCTTTCCTTAGGATCAAGGTCAGTGGGCGACATCTCCACTGCAGTAGATCAGCTACTTAACTTTACATCCTTGAAGTTTTGTGTAATACTTGAACTTTAACGAAGACATTCAGGGATATTTAGTGCATTTCTGTCCACCTCTGTGCTCATCCTGGTGGAGCGTCCGTCAAATAAACCTTTCTATGTTCATGGAGACCAAACCAGACCAAAACAGGTCAGATCTGTGGAGAGGCGACCCCGACCCAGTCAGAATGCCTGTTTTTCGAGGTGTTTTTGAGCAATAAAACTAACTGTAAGATAGAGCTGTTTCAAGTCGTACTGTGAAACACTTCAGGCAGAGCGGTAACATCTCAAGCAGGTGACGGATCCCTAATGACCAAAAAGTTACATAGTGCATCTTTAAACTAACAAGAACAATTGTAAGACCATACTGTAATTTTCCTTTCCTTAGGATCAAGACAGGCTTTTCAACGATCAGTGAGCGACATTTCCACTACAGTAGATTGGCTACTTAACTTTACATCCTTAACGTTTTGTGTAATACTTGAACTTTAACCAAGATATTCAAGGATATTTAGTGTATTTTTGTCCACCTCTGTGCCCATCCTGCTGGAGAGTCTGTCAAATGCTTTTCTCAGTGATGCTATTGCCTTGTCTGGAATGTTTCACAGTATGGTATTAAACCTTTCTATCTTCATGAAGACCAAGCCAAACCAAAATAGGTCAGATCTGTGGAGAGGCAACCCTGCTCACAGTCAGAATGCCTGTTTTTCTAGGTGTTTTTGAGCAATAAAACCAACTGTAATTGAATAAATGTAAGGTAGAGTTGTTTAAAGTCATACTGTGGAACACTTCAGGCAGAGCAGTGACATCTCATTCAGGTGACAGACTCTCAAAGGCCAAAAAGTTACATAGTGCATGTTTAAACTACTCTTAGATATGAATTTAAAGTGACAAGTTGGATTACTCATTTGATTAAAATCTATATGTTTAAGATTTTACTTGAAAACTCAGCAAGAACGATTACCATATTTTTCGGACTATAAGTTGCACTTTTTTTCATGGTTTGGGTGGCAACTTATACTCCGGTGCGACTTATACATTAAAAATTTTCAGACTGACAGTTATGAGAGGCTCTAGGCTTGTGTGTCAGTATCTAGTACTACTCTAACTCCTGTACCACTGTCACTTCACACTCTACTGCGAATGCCTCCTGTAGAAAAAAATGCTGTCTTGCTGCAAATAGTGAAATATTCAGACAAAAACGGTAATTGAGCAGCAGAAAGAAAGTTTGGAGTGAGCAAGAAACTTGTGATTGACTGGCGGAAAGTGGGGATGGAGAACACGGCTTCATGACAGCCGGGAGGGTGCACCATGTAACTTTCCTGGAAGTCACTGGAGTTCAATGACAACCAAAACCATCCTGTCGGGATTCAGAAAGGCTGGAATAATTCTAACTGGAACTGATGCTGAGTCTGACGACAGCTATAAGAAGAAGAAGAATTCAATGGATTTAGTGATTTGGAGTGAGATCGTGAGTTTGGTAAACTTATGTTATGTTGTTTATGCTATAATTATCTGAATAATTGTTCATGTGTGACGTTAACATATTAACGCCTTTTCATCCTGTTGTTCTTTGTTCTATTGTTATTACTATAACTTGCCTTTCAAGATGAAATGTCAGTTCCTGGTCTCTGATTTTATAAAATACATTTCCACAAAAAGTGCGACTTATACTCCGGTGCGACTTATATATGTTTTTTTCTTCTTCATTACACATTTTTTGGCTGGTGCGATTTATACTCCGGAGTGACTTATAGTCCGTAAAATACAGTATAAGACCATACTGTGATTTTCCTTTCCTTAGTATCAAGATTGGGTTTTAAATGATCAGTTTTAACTTTACATCATTAACATTTTGTGTAATACTTGAACTTTAACATTCAGGCTTCAGATATTTAGTGCATCATTCTGGATAATTACAACTATGATTTGTTTATTGATGAATGGAGAATCAAAAATATATTCAGGTATCAATTTTTGTTAACATTGTCCACCTCTGTGCCCATATTGTTTTAGACAAAGGTGAGCATAGTCTTTTATAATAAAAGTAAACACAGCTATTGAATACTTCCATAATAGATGATTGGACATTATATAAGAAGCTTTGGCCCGTCCCAGACACTGTAAACAATCTATAGTGGCACATGCTCTGAAGTGGGTCAGTCCGGACACTACGAGGTTAATCTGTCCGTGATGGTTAATCTGTAACATTCAAAACCGTGACCTCATCCACGCACGCTTATAGTGAACTCCTGTGCTTTCTCTATGATAGCACAGGGAAAACATTTGAGAAAAGAAGTTGCAGAGTTGTCGGGCTGTAGTGAACTTGTCAGCTGAAGAGCAGGCCTGCAACTATAACAGACTTTGAACATAAATAATATTGAAACTACCTTGAACCACTGACACAATTAAAATAAAGCAGCATAA